TTCCCCCTAGAGCAGACAGAGGTTTTTGTTTCCACACGCAGTGTGCAGTGCACACCTGGGGAGTCCAAAAGGTCCAAAGAAACCCCAAACCCATTGTCCATCCACTGTATCAGCAGATACACAGACCATACCACCCACACAGAGGAGGTTATGCCAGGACTGAGCCCGCAGCTCTCCTCCCAAGTGAATTCTGCAGCTTCTCCTTCTGGAGCAGCCAGAGCCGGGGGTTTATGAAGGAGGGTTGAAAACTAAGGTTCAAAAGGAGATACTTGGGAACATGAATATTGAAATGAAGAGGTGGAAGGGTTATACAGATTACCCAGCAGTGAGATAATTTTGGAGGCGTTCATATGCAGTGGAATTTAATTCTGGCAGAATCCACCCATATGTATCATCACAATGTTGCACCACTGCTTGTGCCAATACAAAAATGGAATTCTGGTATTACAGATTATCTTTGAACTCGGAAGCCTGACACTCAGTACTGGTTTTGATATGTTTATGTGTGAGCCTAGGACACAACTGTCTGCATGATAAGATAAATTTGATTAAATGAACTGTTATAACTGTTACATTCTTATGGGCTGTTTTCACTCTCAGCAAGACTCAGCCAAATTTGCCATGACATATCTAGTGACTGAAAACCCTTGTCACTCTATTACACCAGATAAAGGATTCATTTTAAATTTCCTGTTGGACTTGTCACTTACGTGCCATTAAACATAAGAAAATAGTTCTCAAAAAAACCCAAATTAATTTTGCACTTCTGCTTCCAGACACAACAAAAAATGAAGTTAAATCATTTAGTTCAAACCGGTTCTTCTTCATAAGAACGTTTTTTAAACGTTAATGCATGGTGCATTTTGAAAAATAGTTCCCAGAAAGATGTTTTGTAAACCAACGGGATAGTAACATATAAACTACATGTCATTTCAATCCTTTTGTGATATTTTGATACACCAGCTTCATTGCATGCTCAAAACCCCACAACTTCCAGAAGACTTTTCCCTGTCTTACAGTTTTTGCCCTGCCACCCTACAGCTACCAAAGGGGTGATTCTAGCAGGAAGGGACAGGGCAGCACAAAAGTTTAAAGTTTGGCTGTTGCAATATAATAACTGTGATACAGTGAAATAACTCTACATTGTTTTAACTGTTTGACACTAGTAAATGAAAACACATGCTCTGCTTAGTGAGATGTATTACGTAATACAGCATAGCCAGCAAACTTAGCTAGGAATAAAATTAGTCTACTCCTTTTCTCAAATGTCAGAGTTTGGGAGTCTACTGTAAAAACAGCTTTCACTCTAAAAGAGATGTCAGTTATAATTACCTTAAGCAGAAATATTAGTAGTAGCTATCTACAATATCAGACCAAACATATTCAGTACTTCCAAACAAAGAAACAAATACTCAGTGCAAAACAACTCTTCTTCCCACTTAACCCCACTGCTGACAACTGTAGATACAAGGAAGTTTTGGATCTGGTTTTCCCTACAGGAGTCTGTAAATCAGGCTTTTCCACATGGCCCCCTAAGAAATGTCAAATCTATATTGTTTTTCCCTAAGAAGACAGCAACCAGGAGAAAGCCAAATTAGGGTTTCCTTGGACAGCAGAGTAGGATAGTCCTGGAAAGTAGAGCCAGGATGGACCTGAATTCCACTGTACCTGATGACTAATTCAAATAGTAGGAAAACCACAGTGGTCAGAAACAGCCCTGAAAAAAACCCAGAAAAAACATTAAGACTTTTTTTTTTTAATAACTTCCTAAAACTGAAATTTTATAAGACGAGATCAACCCCAAATTCTTTTCAGCTCTAACAAAGTAAAACAGAACATGAAGGTAGACAAAAGCTATCAGAAACAGAGAATGTAGTGAAAAAACACATTTCCATGTGCCTCTGCTGTAACTGGAAAGTCAAGTGACAAAATCAAAAACATGAAATGCTTTACTAAACACTAAGAATTTATTCTTCAGCTGTTCCTTCAACAATTGTATCAGCTCCAACTGGAAAGATGACAGTGAAACACAGTTTATAAGGCAGCACAATCTTGTGGATTACGTCCTGTAACTTGTTTATTCTGGATTCTGTAGCTTTGTTTTCTCATCTCTGTCTCAGATGTGGGATGCTCTGCTTACCAACTCATTCTCTAAAGGCAATTCTTTTTGTCTCTACTTAATTCCTGTCCAGAGAGACAACACTGAGCTCTTTAAGAATGGAACTTTTCTTTTTCTTTATGCAGAACCATAAAAATTAGAGCATGTTTCCATCCATCAATACAGCAGAACATTGTTGAACTTTAGAATCATGGCATTGGCATAATGGCATAATGAGGGAGACAAAAACAAATAGAAAAATTCTAATGAGAAGAAAACTTTAGAGGCTCAATGAAGTTGAACAGCCAGCTGCTGAAATACTGGATGAAATGTCATCTGTAATGGCACCAGCACCCCTCACTGTGCTGCTCTCTGGCCCCTCACTCAGTATCCAAAGGCAGAATTTTTTCAGCAAGTGATCCCCCAGATGAAACACAAACATAAGTGTAAAAACCCCACTGCCTTCATAATAAAACACACTACCCACCAGCCCTCCTTTCCCAGTTATATTGTCTTTCCTTATTCTTAGTATTCCTCCAACAATACCTTAATCTTTGAAGTCAAAACAATGAAAGAATTCATTAATAAAAACCACTCTTTTGAGAACAGCAATAATATTTCCTTTTCATCCTAGTAAAACACACACGTGTGGAGGTGAAAGTACAAAAAATACATGGAAAAAGGAGCAATCAGTGTTCCAGCCTCCTGGGCAGCACATTTGCAGCCTCTCACACAGCTCTGGAAGTCTCTGTGCTGGCTCCGTTCCTCTGCAGCTGCAGGAGGCAAGATGTTCCTTCCACCTTGTGCCAGTGAAAGGAAATCCCAGCCCATGAGACAGAGGGTCAGGGTGTTGCACCTCTGGGAGAGAAGATGTGAGCAGCAGAATGGCAAAGTGCTGGTAGGAAGGGCAAGATTTACCCTGGTAGCCTGTTCCCACATGTACCTGCGCCAGCAGAAAGCGAGTTTGGCTGGATTGCTCTCCAAGTCATGAACTTGATCCCACTGCTCTCCAGAGAGCAAGGGTGACTCTGAAACCTCACTTGCATGCTTTGGGACTCAAAGAGCACAGGAGTTCACTGGAATTTAAGCTTGCATAGCAAGGCAGAGAAGCCCTCTTAAAACAGAATATTATCAGTACATATTTTAATTTTTAAAACCCTTTAAGATCCACATACGCTCTTTGCTTACAAAAAAGGTCTGTAGTTCCTATCAAACAAGACAATACTGTAGAAGGCAATCCTTTGGACATTTTCACATAGCAGCTAAGTACTAATACACTTGTTTTTCCAATGCAATTCTTTCTAAAGAGTAACTGGAGAGGCAGCTACAAACAAAAGAATTAGGCTGATGTTTCCACACTGCAAGGGGAGAATCTTTAAAAAAGCTATTTCACTGAAAAGAAATGAAGTTTCCACCTGCAGCTTTATGCATTTGGCAAACAGAACCTCACTTCTGCAATGTTATTTTAGGACAGAAAAAAACGCATGCCAGAATTAATCTTGCAGTGGATTAGAAGCTTTGTCTGAATTTCACAGTTAGCATAAACTTAGAGCAGCTATTCTACAGTAGTGAGCAGAAAGTCCAGTGAAACCATTTTTAAAAAGACAAGCACTGGAAAAGTTCATTCCCTCAGTCTACGCAATGCATACAAGATTCCTGTCTGGTCAACATAATCCTCTCTTAAATCCTTTTGTCACAAAACTAAATTCTTAGAGTTAGCTTGACTTGAACTGCATTTCTGTTACTCACAGACTACACACTGTTCCACTATTACCAGTATACAGAAAACTCACATTGGCTCCAGAAGAGGAGATCAAAAGAAAGATAATTTCAAAAGAACATCATTATAGAGAAGAAAGAAAAATAATGACATTCTACCAAAAAAAAAAAAAAAAAGTCTCTTAAGGAGGGATGGAGGTGAAAAGTCACCTCAACTCCCCAAAATACCTTTAGGTTTCCCTTCTATGAAAGAGAATCTCCTAGGAATCCCTCAAAGTGCCTATTTATTAATAAACACTCTCATAATTAAATCACAGGTTCCTCTAAATGTCAGTGGCTGCAGGAGAATGCAGATGCAAAATGCATTACAGAGCACAGTGGACTCAGGCAAGCACTTCCACAAAGTGAGAGCAAAATGTGCTCTACAGAAACAGTTGTGAAACTGCTGCCTCTGTGCCAAGGCACTGCAAACTGCTTTACCATCCAGATAGAGAAATATTCTTTTCATTTTATGCTATGACAGCAATAAAATACTATTAAAACGCCAATGTTATGTGTGTCACATAACCAAGGAGAAGAAGAGATCACTGCCAGCTTAGCAAATCTACTGTACCTCCAGACTCTGGGAGAAAAGAATGGTTAAACAAATATTCACACAGGTTTGGAGGGGTTTTTCTACTTGTATAAACTTTAATCAGTCATATTTCTCTCCCTCAAAATGCACACAAGCTGACTTATACTAATCAATGCCTACTGAATTGTTAAGGGTAGATATAAAGGGAAAGTATAAAAGTTCTTTCAAAGACAAAACTGAAATCTTCAACTAGTGACACAGGGCGCCTCCAAGTCATTTTGTCTTTAAGATATTAAACCACAGACCTGCACAGTGCTATCCAAGTCACTATAAAATCATTAAAGACAGTAACTTTGCCATGATAATTCTCATTAGAAGCACAAGATAGTATGAAAAATTTAAGCTTATTTTATTCAAGAGCTTTAAGGTTGCTGTTATACCTGGATTTGCCCTTTTCCCTGACCTTCCATCATCTTGGCAGTTACCTTTAATCGTTCCTAACATGCTGAAAGCAAATTTCCATAACAAAACACAGGCTTTAAACCGCCCCCCGAAGTCCCACAGCAGAAGAACAAACAAACCCCCAGAAAGTTGTGCACAGCTACTTGCCTCTGGGCAATTTCTGCGTGTTCCCCAGGCTCAGTGCAATACATCCACAGAAAAGGAGACAGGCAAATGTTGGCATCGTGGTCTCAGTGATGGGGCGGCAGTGCCGGGTACCAGGCAGGAGCGCTGCTCTGCATTTAAGGGAACCCTTCCCTGGGCCAGGAGGCAGCAGCCCTGGACACGAGCTTGCTCTGCACAGTGGGAGGAGACGGGGTGACATCATCCCCTCCCTCTGCAAAACGAGAATTAGCATTAAAAAATATTGTCAGCCCTGCAATAATCCTCCGGGGATGGTTGCAAGGTCTTTTCCACCACACATTACCATTTCGTTACTTACATTTCATGAAAATAAAATCACGAATAGCAAACTTTCTATTAATAGAAAACTGATCTGAGAGATATTTTCAGTGTTTTGTCCGAGAGAGCTGGACTTAAACTGCAAAAACGGCATTTGCAGTACTCAGACAACTGTTTGCTATATTGACCTCAGTATTTTTGCAATCTCAACAGTTTTCTTAAGGTTAATTCAGGCTACTTGTGGCTTTTAGCCAGGCAAAATAAATACTAGTTTAATTTGATGTGACATTAGAAGCAGACATTGTAAATATTTATTCAGCAAAAGAACTGGACTTGAAAAATCTAAATGTCATTTTTTCACTTGTATCTAGTGTTGGCAATTTAAAAATACTTCATAATTTTCCCTTTCATAAGTGTCTGGTGAGTTAATGGGTACAATGCACATTGAAAGGAATAAAGCAACACTTCTCATTCCAGGGAGACCTTCTCACCAGTTACATAACTTTAGGTAGAAAAGAAGTTCCATTTTTCCATTAAAAGCTCTTGCATTCCATGCTTACAATGAGCCAAGTAAGCACAGCATTTGGTCCCACTCACAAGTGAGAAGATGGGAAGGAAAGGGCAAAGCAGAAGAAAAGGAAGAATTTAGTTCCACTATCTGGAAAAGTTTCCAAAGAGATTAAATCTCTTCAACTAAGTAGTGGTATCTCTCTCTCTCTCTCTGTCCCTCCAAATAAAAACCCCAAAATCAAACAAGGAACAACCCAACTAACAAAGAAATCCCAAAACAGTCCCCAGGGGAAAAAAATAACACCAAAAAATCAAACCAAAAGCAAACCCAAAAGAGCCATCAACCACCAAACCTAGACATAGCTCTTGCTTGTAATATATGAAGTTCCTCAGTAGGTTTTGTCTGCTCCCACTTGACTGGACCTGACATTGTTCTGCTTCCATAGTGTTTATCAGCAGGGAAAATCCCAAAACTCACACCTGAGTTATTTAAAACTGCCTAGTAGTTTTAAATATAAAGATAATATTATCTTGAAGCATATGAGAGCATTTCTTTAAGATCAGATTAATCGTGTATTTAAAAAGACCCCGTGTTTGCCATAATTCAAGAAGAACTTCACAAGAGAAACCAGCAATCATTGCCTTAGAGACAAACCTGAGGAATTTCAAGCTCTCCTAATCAATATGGACAGGACACAGCTATAACAAAACCAGCTGAACTATGGGAATATGTTCCAGACTCATCATACTATCTGAATTGGGACATAAGGAAACGTTTTTATTATTCACTAACTCAAATCTGGGAAGAGCAACTTGAAAGCCAATATTTGAGACAGACCCCAAAAAATCCCTAAACACTATTACCTGAAGGATCTTTGGGAGGATTCAGATCTTGAATATAAACACTCTGAGCAGGTAAATGAGACAGGTACAATTTGAATGAGATGAAAATATGTTTGTAAGGCTGTACAGGTAGACAGGGATCTCACAAAACACCACACAAAAGAGTGTTAAGTGGCAGAAAGATGGATACAGAGAGCAACATGCCATTCTGACTGGTTTTTAAGGTGAAGTACTATTTTCAAAAAATGTTCCAGCAACCATATTTTATTTTTTCTCTTCAAAATTAAAAAACAAGAAATCAGTCATTTGATGTAACTGTCTCTCGGGAGGAGTAATGGGAAAAATTGCTCCATAGTCACACAGAACTGTCTTTGTATTAGTGTAAACTGGACTCTCCTATTGGTCTTATGGCAAATTCACCTTTCTTCAAAAAATTACACAACACCTTCCAAAAAAAGGCACAAAGGCCAACTTCTACTCAGAGAAATCTTAGCGAAACAAACATATTTATTATTTGCCTACCTCACAACCTCTCTCATAGATAAATATAGTCCCACCCCTGTTTTCACAACTACTTGCTTCTCTGCTGCCTCTTACATCTTACTTTTCCTCCTTGGTGCATTTTTCAACCATGTTTTCTCTGCTTAGGTGTTCTATATAGATATTTAACCTTCCCCTGAGACCCTGGCAGACCGTGAGGTATCTAACCCCCTTGAGCTATGCAGATCCCTCTGACCCCTGTGGAACACAGCTCTTCCCAGCCCAGAGTTCCAAAACCCATGTCAAGACATATCAGAAAATCTGGCAGCCCCCAAAGGGAAGAAATGATGGTGCCTGGCTCCAGATCAGAATGCTGAAGGACAGCTTTATAAAAAACATACCATATTGCATTAATTATACTATTTAAAGAGATATTATACTATTCTGCATACTTCTTACTTATCTAACAAACTCCTGACCCTCTGCTGAGACTCTGAGCCACAGCTGGATCCAAATGGTCATTGAACCCAAACAACCTTCACCAGAATCCAATCCAGCCATCACTTCAGGTGAACAATCTCCACACCAAATTCCACATGAGGAAAACCAAGGAGCAGAGATAAAGATTGTTTTCTTCTCTCTGTGCTTCTCCTGAGAGACAGAATTATGTCTCTCAGTCCAGAGAACGTGAATGCCACAAAGATGCACTTTCTTCTATCTTATCATGGATATGCTTTGTCAGGGACAATGCTAGTATAAGCAGATGCAAGTGTAACTTTCCATTAAATACACGCCAAGAGTACAAAAATCAGTTACAGGGTATAATTTTATAGTTTTCTAATATGGTCGCCTCATCTGCACCATAGATAATATATAGATAATAAAAATATACATAATAATTAGAAAGATAATAATTGTAATAGATATTCACTAATTTTGTCCACTTCTTTTCTAGAAAACCTCTGCTACATGAAAAATGGGGAAAAAACCCCAAAACCAACAGATTTTGCTTTCCTTTTTCCTAAATCCTCTACCATTTCAATAGATGCTGAGTGCTGCAGTGCAAAACTGAACAAGGGAACACAGTGGAACTCCTGGACTTCAAACACTGTCCTGCAGTGCTGGATGCTTCCATAATGCTGCTCAGATATCCATTTATCCTCCTGCTGGAGAGCTGCTTCACAATCCCCATTGAAACAGAGAGAATCTGACTTCCATTCACAAAGTTATAAACACAGCACGTTCCTCAGGTTTCTCTCATTCACACAGATCTAGAAGTACATTACCCATCCTTTGACTCCTCAGAAGGAAAATATTAAAAACCAAGGAAAATTTAGTTAATGACAGTTTTGTGTTACACCTTTAACATAAAAGGCAAGAATACTGAGTGAAGTGCAGGAATGAAAAGTCTCAAACACATCAAACAGAAAAAGACAAAACCTGATCTTCTAGTGACTCCTTTTCAGCACCAAACTAATGTTTAAGTAATAAAGTCAGGTACTCAAAAGTTTACTTGCTTACCTAAACTGGTTCTCTGTGGGTTAGGTCTCAAAAATGGAGATTCCACAAGATTCACAGCACATCTGGGGGCAAAGCAGAGCTTTTCTAGTCCTATTTAACCAGTAACCAGACTGGCAAGTACAATGAAAACAAAAGTATGGAAAGAAAAACTGGGGGGATGGGAAGAAGAGGAGCAGGAGGCAGATTTTCCATTTTGTTTCCAAATACAAATCTGCTTTTGTTGAGATTTGGGCTCCATCCCAATTCACCTATCATTCCTGATTATTTTGACAAGCAAAAGCCAAGGTGCCTAACTCCTAATTTAAAGCAGAAAGAATGTGCAAAGAATAACATTAACAAACAAAATCCTGTCTTCACTTTGAAAAGCACAGTAATGCCTTGTGAAGCTTTCCAAGAGTAAGGACTTGCAGTACACTTGGTCTGTCTTTTTGCAGAACATTTCTGGTTGATGCTGTACATTTCAGCAATGCTTTTCAATTATTCGTGAAGTGTCTTTTTCATAAAATATGCTATATAAATGTTAATTACAATTTTCATTCTCTTAGGGGTGACTCAATTATTGAACTCTTTTTTCTTGCAAATATCATGGGATGTCCTCTAAAGGCCTTGAGGAAAAGAGATGTCAAAGAACATTCTTCCAGATGTGCTGTTTATAGAAGAAAAAGAAGAAAAAAGAAAATAGTAACTCTACTTTCTAGAAGTCTGTAATTACTTTTGTTCCAATATTCCATTCTCATTTTGACAAGCAAATATTTGAGCTCTCATGCTGTCAAAAATACAGGGATCACACATTAGTCTGTTAGCCAAAGGTAAGACATATTCATTTCATACCATTAAAGAAAAAGACAGGGCATTCTAGTGTCCATATCCCAAACTGATTTCCAGATTTCCAAATTAATGGAATCTGAGACAAAGTGAAAAGGAGTGGACAAAGTAGCTGGTTCTTGTGACATGTTTTATGTAGCTCAAACTCTTTCAGCACACACTCATTTGACACCCGTAATTTCAGACCATGACTCGTCTTTTCTAATAGGCAATGTATTCCACCAAAATTCTGTACAACGTGGAGTGAAATAAAAAAAATCCCATGTATTTAATTTCTCTAGTAAGTATTTCATATCTCTATTAAATATTGACTTGTCTTATTGTTCCCTTTGTAATGCAAATAACCTGCTGTGCTCAGTTCTGCAGTTTTGATAACATTATCATGACCTGCCACATCATAGGGACATTTCTCTCTCTCTCAGGATTTTTCATCGAGGTGCACAGAGAGAAATGAAAGAGAAAACAATTTCTATTTCTGCTCCTTGTTTTTCCCATGTGGAATGTGTTTGGAGAATTGTTTGCCTGGGGTGATTGCTTGATTGAATTCATGTGAGGATTGTACCTGGGGCTGGACCCTTGAGAACAGGGTCAGGAGTTGTGAGTTAGAGATGGTAATTAGAACAAGCAGGTATGTAATTTTAGTATCTTCCTTTATATAGTATATTGATGTATTTTAGCATAGTTATAAT